AAGCTGGTTAATCGCCTCAATAATCGAGGCTGGTGATGAGCTCTTATGCTGCCGCACGCGATCACGTATTAACGTTGATTGAGCCTCAAGCTCACGTACGTTGCTTGGTGTACGAGCCTCCCAGGGAGGCTCTGCGAGGCAGCTGGTGGAGTAGGCGTACGCAGCTGCACGTTGAGCTTTGATAGAACAGCGTCTGGCTGGAGAGGGCTAGGCCTGCGCCTCGAAAAGCTGAGCAGATATTGGCTAAGGTGAACGATCGATCAAAGGCTGCCTTAAAGGCTGGCAGGAATTCGAGCTTGGTGATATGGTTGATATTGTAGCGCATTAGAGCCTCAATCTCACGGCTGTACGCGCGCTTCATAGGCGAGAAGCAGCCTACGTCAAGAGGCTGCAGTAGGTGAGATGAGTGAGCTGGCATGCAGAGCGTGTAGATATTGCTCTCCTTGCAGAGCTCTTGAAACTCAAGAGACTGGTGGCTCTCGTGGCCGTCAAGGATAAGCAGGCGGCGTGCTCCAACTACCTTGCCCTCAGTATGCTTAATAAAGTGCTTTAGCCACTCTACTCCTATCTCGTTGGTTGTCCAGCCGTTGTCGCTAACTGCGATAGCCCAGTCGCGTGGGATATCCTCCTCGTACTAGGCTGACAGGTGATACTTGCTAGCAAAGATGAGGAACGGTGGGATTGTCCAGCCAGCAGCGTTGATTGCAGCAATTACCGTTACCTACTCGCGGTTGCCAGGCTGGATAGTCTTTGGCCTGCCTCTCCTCTCTGACCCTGTGATAACTAGCTGAGTCTGGATCTTGCCCATCATAAAGCCAGCCTCGTCAAAGTTGTAGACGTCCTCATCACAGATGCCGTACTTGGCCTTTGTCTCCTCTACCAGCTTAAACCAGCGGCTGATTAGCACAGGATCCTCGCATAGAGCTCTCTGCCTATCGTACGATCGATTAAAACGCGTCATAAGACTGTCTGTACGCTTGACAAAGTTGCGCGGCCAGTGGACGCCAACGCGACCTGCGCCACGCGCAGCAAGCAGCTTATTAGCTATATCGCGCGCAGCTGTATACGTAGGCCCAAATCCTCGCTGATCAAGGTCGAGTATATGTCTAATAATTACCTCCTCCTCTAGCTGGGTAAGCTTCTTTGAGTTGGGCTGGCAATCGCGTCGTGCAAGCCTGCCAGCGCGTCGGTCGCGTAGCGTCATTCGAGGGACGTTAAACGCGCGAGCAGCAGCTCTCTCAGTCTTGATCTGGTGGCTATTAAGAGATGATATAGTAAGCTGCATATCAGCTTCAGATGAGCGCAATAGAGCTTGTTGGCGTTGAGGCATAACTGATTTGATCTTCAAAGGTGATCAAAGTTGGTGGGGTGGACGACTCGCTTGTAAGGACGACTCGCTTATAAAACACGTTATATACACAACGCGTTGTGGTGGATTTTTTTTAGATATATTGTTGTCAACCTCAACACCAGAAAAAATATCGTAAGATCGCTCAACACTAATATGAACAACCTTACGCTTTACGCTCGGGCCAATTAATCTTATTAATCTAATCAATCAATCTAGCCCATCTCAGCTTGATTAACGATTTTTTTGCTCTGGATTGGATTGGCTTGGCTTGGTAGCTATAGACGCTTAGATGGATTAATGAGATTGATCTGGATTGATTGTTAACAAGTCTGTATATTAGCAATCCTATCACTACTATAAGCGCCTGTAAGCTGCGGTAAGGCAATAGGCAGGTCCCTAACGTTACCACAGGCGTTAGCGTAATAAGTAACAATACTAAAGAACCCTCGTTTGCTACCCCTTGTCGTCTACCCGTTAAAGCTAATATAGATTTGACTTATAGATTGCGACAAGTCGTTGACAACCTGCGGCTTAAGGTAGCGATAAAGCCTTATAACAAAGCTCGCGACGCTAGTACGACTTACCTATAAAGCTTCTGCTGCCTCTAGATTAGCGTATGCTATTATCTCACGGAAAGCTAGAGTCTTAAACTTACGGAGAGCGTAGTTGTTATCAACTAACCAGCTAACAGCAGCGTATCAAAAGCCTTGTACATCAAAGTTTCCAATCTCATTAGCGACCTCCTGCAATACAACAACACCGCTATCGCTTAATAATCGCAGGGACGTCTAACCTTAAGGTAGCGCAGCCTTAGCAAGCTGGCCCTAACGGTTAAGGCGGTAGCCAACTCTGTTCTGTGCTATATAAGTTATCGCAGCAGTTGTTGATAGCGTCACCTCTAACGCTTGCTTCCCCTCCAATCTCTGATGTTTATAGCAATGCCTGCAGATCTAGAAAGTCCTCTGCGGATCAGCTATTAAGGCGACGCGATAACCGTGCTCAAAGACCCAGCTTTTCCTGCCCTTAAGCGTCCTTAGCGGCTTCATAAAGCGCGATATATAAGCCTAATTAAGGCTATCGTATTTATCCTTAAACCGACTATCAAGCTCGCCTCTATCGTAGCTATCAGACGCCTTAGTTAAAGCCTCTGTAGCAGCTCGTGAGCCCTCAGTTAGCGGATCGATCGCGTTGTCGGGCAGCAGGTCGCGCAGCTGCGATTCGAACGGAGCCTTCTCTGTAGCTTAACTAGCTGCAACCTTAAGGGCTTTGCGTAGTAAGGTTCGTACAGGCAGCTCAGACTGCGATTAAGAGTTGTCGTTGACTTTAACGCGTTTATTTGACGCAGCAGCGCGATCAGCAGCGCGTTTAAAGGCCTTCAGAGGCATAACAGATAGTAATAGCGCGTAAGGAGCCTTAGAGATAACAACAATAGGCGCTAATATAAGATATAGGCTGATGTTAAATGTTGATACTACGTCGCAGAGTAAGCTAGTTAGATCAGAAGGTTGCTTACTAATCGAAACTTAACACTACTAATATGTCACCCTATCAATATTATCTACTGCCTAGCAACCTTATTAACTACCTTAGAAATCGCCCTAGTATTAGTACCTGATCAATCTAATCAATCAATTCAATCAAAAAGAGGGCTTTGATTTGTTCTTAATTGGAAAAACGCTATGGGCGAATTGATCTTGACTTGATTGAGCTTTTGATCAAGAATCAATCAAGTCAATCAAAAAACTTGCTTGTTGGCATGTCTGGACATCTGTTGGTCGAACAACCAACATGTGGTACGTTGGATCGTTGTCTCTTTCCCAGGAATTGTAAATCCCCTTTCCGACAATAACACAGCTTTCTTTGCTAAGGATATCGCCTCCACTAACATCGTAGTCTATCCTTCCTTTCGTTGCTCCGTTAGGACACCGGACTTCGTGATATGACCCACAGCGTACCAATGTGCAATCTCGAAATGCCCACAAGCTCGCGATGATGGCCTCTTCTCTTTTTTCGTCGAATCGGAGGCTATCGATCCATTCCATTTTGCCGAAGCCGACGTCGATGAACTTGACGCCTCCACTATAGACCATCCATGTCCAAGAGGGCAGAGGAGAGTCGTATTGGATCTCCTGCAGCTGACTGTCATCTACACGTCACAGGAGGTTTCTGTGAAGAAATTTTTGGAAGATGCCGTATCTGCTTTGACATCTCAAAGCATGTTTCATACGGTTCTCTAGCGCAGATGCTGAAACACGTCTGTCCGTCAGAACTGTAAGGCTTCGCTTCGAGTACTCCGAGATAATGTAGGATATGCAGTTGAGTGTACGTGCGAGGCCTGACTTGAGGAGCCGCTCCGGAAAATGTGGATCAAGCATAGAATATTTGCCTTTAGGGCGGCTAGAAGGAGACGCGTATTGTTAGAAGTGTCTCAGTAGTGATGATACAAAAGTCGTACCTGTAGAGTCTCATGAGGTTCTCGCAGTAAACCCCTTGACCGCATTCCTAGTACATCTGATTGGCGCTAAAATGAATAGTTCGCCTTGCCAAAACCCCTTCTTGCATCACCCAGGCTCGCGTGTTCAGCTTGGCTTTGCCCACGTCTTGGTCGAAATCATCTACGTCAGTGCTGATGTAAAACTCGTTGCCGGAGGCATCCTGGACATAGACACTATCAGTGCATATATAACGCTTAAGGAACCCTGCGTTTGAGTCAGCAGCCGCAGTGGCGGCGATTGTGCAGTAAGCCTGGGAAAAGACGCTCTCCATCCGACCAGATTCGCAGTTCCAGTCCTCAAGACTGTCCTCGTATTGGATGATGCATAGCGATTTAATCTAGAGGTAGAGGACACCGAGTTCTCGGGTTACCGTGACGGCGTCTTGGAAAGTCATCGGGAGTTCGGAGACACTGAATCCCTGCAGCCGCCGGCCGATGTTGTCCTGAGTTGTGCAGAACCTTTTCTGCTCTTCCGTCGGGAGCTGGCCCCAACAATGAGACAAAGCGATATATTGCCAAGTGGTCGCTTCTGAAGCACGGATGAGACGAACCTGATCTGGCTTGTGGTTCTGATCGCCTAGATCACCGACGTACAGGAGTCTTGTTGGCAACGCTGTCCCAAGCTCAGCTTGGTTCCCATTACACTCGTGATGTTCCTCATTACACCAGCGGAGCCATGCGCGGAGCAGTGTAGATCGTGCGGAGCTAACGGGCTCGGTGAAGATTGGGCGACCGATTGGGGTGGTGAAGTCATGGTTTGTCGCGCACTCTGCAGTAAGCGCATACAATTAGCCTAGGTTCATGTAAAGAAGCAAAGAGAGTGAGAATAAGTGCTGACCTGGATCAACAGAGAATCGCAAAAGGCGCGGGCCGCTTGGTCCCGCCGTAAGCGCAGAACGGGTTCTTTGCAGGTCCACCTTGCCATTGCGCTCAAGGTCCCATCGCTGCAAGGCGACGAGAAGCATGGCGCAGACTGAACAACTGGCCGCAAACATTCGTATCCCTGAAAGGTCGGTCTTGCGTAGAGAGCTTCCGGAAGCTGCGTCCACGATGATGCTGCAGCAATCGCACGGGATAACTGGAATAGGTAGTGCGTAAGATGGTAAACTTGCGAAAAGCTTCTTGGCAAAAACATCGTTACAGTGCAGCATCCAGTCATTGTACTACGTAAAAGTAAGTAATGTGGTACTACATGCGCACGAGCGATAAATGAAGGTTTTACTCACATTCTAAATGACGAGACACACTAAGCGTTAGCAGCAGCCTAGCAACGTAGTCTTCGCAGCTGCACTTACGTCCTACACCACCAGACACACCAAGCGTTAGCAGCAGCCTCGCAACGTACTCTTCGCAGCTGCACTTACGCCCTGCACCACCAGACACACCAATCGTTAGCAGCAGCCGCGCAACGTACTCTTTGTAGCTGCACTTACGTCCTACATCACCAGACACACTAAGCGTTAGCAGCAGCCTCGCAATGTAGTCTTCGCAGCTGCACTTACAAACTACACCACCAGACACACCAAACGTTAGCATCCACGCACTATAGTTGTTCTGTAGTGTCGTACTTCCTATAGTTCTTAACTTTAGTGTCGCTACGACCGTCTCTTAGTATATCCTTACACTCTATTCATACAATCAGCCAACCTCAGATTATTACAGCTTAGGGTATGAACATACTGTAAAAGACTCTTCGTTCTCCATATCTTGATTCTCAAGCTATCGGTCTGATGGTAGCCGCTAAAACAAACGACGTCCTTGCGATTAATTGTCACAGTAAGTAGAAGTGTTTCCAAAACTTGCGAGGTGCGGGGTAGGCATTCAACTTCCTTGGCTGCTGCCTAATTGTATTTGGTCTTTCTTCTGCCAATCAACGGCTGTTTCTGTGTGCAAATCAGGGTCAGCTATTGTACATCCAATGTCGAGGGTTAACGTTCGAATAGTATCAGAAACACAGTGTGTAGAGGTTACCATGATTGAGATGACGATGTCTCGTCTTTTGTTAAGTTATCACGATTTGTGAAGTCATGTCCCCTATCTAGTGTCATGTTAGTTCTCGTGCATGCACTGGCTAAATCTCTAGTGCGCCTGTTTAATGACCGAACCATCAGCTTGTGTGCACCCGCTCTAAAGTGTTATGCTAAAGCTGTGTACTGGCTGCACACCGCACGTGTGCTGACAGGCTGACGCTAGGTCGAATATGCTAGGTGGGGCGCCATGATCCCTGTCTACCGTGTGGCGCAAACGTTGTTGCAACTGTGTTCGAGGGGAAGCCGCATTCGCTAAGCACTGTATCTTCGCCCGACCGACTCTGTAACGTTTTGCGATCGAACGGAAGCGAGTAGCTGTTGTGTGGATGAGTCTGCGATCTGGACGCGTGAGAGAGATGGTAATCTCGACCCCTGAACGCGACCGCGACCGCGACCGCGAAGCGACATCCTTGCCAACCGAGCTGCTGGCACCACTAAAGAGACGCGCAAGAAACACCACCGAGCAAAACGAACACTATCGCAGGCGACCACCACAGCCAGACCTATTAGCCGACGACTCCGACACTATCCAGATCGAAAGCAGCCAACCTATCTGTCAAGCTAGGAAGAGCACCGCCACTAACAAAGATCTACTTACCGCGTTAACTAAGATTATCTAGCAGCAGAATGAAACGATCTAGAACCTCGAACGCGAAACAAGAGAGATTAGAAAGAACCAGCAAGCTATTATTGACTACAATGTGAAACTTATCGACGAGATCGCTGAGCTGAAGACACGCGTCGATGACCTTGTGGCAACAGCATCCTCTAGTGCGCGTACCTGGGCCTTGGTTGCGTCCGCAAGCGCACCTGCGGAACTAAGCGCCACGTCTGGAACGCTAGCAAACTAGCAGCACACGAACAGAACTAACCTCGCCTCCATCGACGTGCCCAACGTTACAGTAGACATTTCTAGGGCAGATACTGAAAATGGCAGATTGTTAGCTGGAGCGGTTAGAGCAGCTGTGGAAAAAGAGATGCGCACAATGGAGAACTAAGAAAACTGGCGATGCCGGGCGGTTACTGTCGACTACGCGACGCAGAGCAGGATCAGGATTGCGTGCTGTAAGCCTAGGGTACCTTGCATGGTCACGTGGATTATCCAGCGACCAATCAGCCCACTACTCTATGTATATAAGCTTAGATCACAGACCTCTCGGTGATTAAGCAGAATACACACAATCTACTTACAGTTACCTTCTCGCTGCACTCGGTAGGCGCGATAATAGCGTCTTTAGGCCGCGACTCGCGTAGTTGCGACTTAAAAGTTAAAGCCTAGGACGCCTCTACGAGAGCTCTGCGAGGCGACAGACGCGACGGCGATGGCGATAGCTAACTATCGACGGCTATAGGCTGGCTAACACTGCCGCGGGCGGTGGAGGATTTGACGCGTTTCTTCGGGCGAGTAAGGTTATTAGAGGCGCGTTTCGTAGGAGGCATGGCGATAGCAATATGATAAGGGCGATAGGAGCAAAAAAATGACGCGATAGAGGGTTGTTTAGGTAACTGGTGGAGGGAGTATAGTGTTGCAGAAGTTAGGCTGATTACGTACTAGTACTGCGACAACTACAACACTAAAAACCTATCGTGAGATCGCTCCTGCTGCAAAACGGGCAACCTCGCGTGCTACCTTAATTAAGCCTATTAAGCTGAACAATTAAGCTAAGCTACCTCAGCTTGGATTGCTAAAAAATAAATATAGGCGAGCTTGACTTGATGGGATTGATAGTTATCAAGCTATCAATCAAGCGCTTGCAAGCCGCTTGATTGTTGACAAGTCTGGGCGTAAGGCGTTCCGTTGTAACAAGGAGATCGGTCCGGAGAATAGTGGCAAGGAACTAACCGTTCTTGGAAGGCAGCCCCGCGTTCTGGAGGCACATTGAGCCTAATGTCGTTTGTACCAAGCAATCGGTATGCTGACAGCAAAAAGACCTCGGCGCAGAATCTTTCACTTGTGCACTGATTGACAGACAACTCCTCTTGAATATCATGGTCTAGCATATTCCTCTGGATGTTCATCCTGACAACCATCTACATCGTCCCACAAGTTGTCTCTAGCGACCTATATGGTCCCTTGAGACGCTTCCAGATGTCAGAACAATTAACCAACGCTTCTGATGACCTATCTCCGCTCGAGAGCAGCGACCTACCCATCCACAAAGCTGCATACAAAGGCGACATCCCATTGCTAGCATCTCTTGTGCCCCTCTGCGAGGACATCGATATCCGAAGTGCCTGCAACTGTACACCATTGCATCTTGCGATTCGAGGCAACCATGGAGACGCCGTTCAACTGCTCCTGTCTGCTGGAGCAGGTCCCACGCTCCAGGATACCTTAGACACTGCGATGCAACCACCTTTCGATGCCGTAGATCTTGCTGCTTGGCTAGGTGCTCAGCATGCAATGTCCGCCTTGATTAATGCTGGTCTGGAAATACCAGCCAGTGCATTCGAGAGAAGCGCATCACTGAATCATGTAGAATGCATGCGCATCATGTTGAGCAAGCTACCTAACCAGAGGTTTTCCGATCAACCAAAACTTGATGGTGTAAGGTTAGCATTAGGCCGGGCGGCAATCTGCTGGCATTTGGAAGCAGTAGAATTTCTTCTCACCCAAGTGCGCGGATTTCCAGACGAAACTAAGCCTCAAGATCGAACTGCCCTAGGTATTAGCGTTGCCCTTGCCGTTGACCTAGAATATATCTGCGTCGATAATTGTCGTTGGAGCACCATAGCAAACCCCAAACGGTTGCCGATTATACTGGAAAAGCTAGTAGCATCTGGTGCTGATGTGAATGCCGAACATCCTGCAACTGGGAATAGTGGTTTTTGGACAGTTGTTGAAGATCAAGACCTCACGCGATTCTTTCTGGGACATGGCTTGCGCCAAGAAAGCCAGACCAAGGGAGGTCATACTCCTATATTTGGTATCGTTTATAGCGTCAACACTGAGCCTTCCCTCTTGGAGACCTTTATAGCCGCTGGAGCAGATGTCAACCATAAAGATCGAGCGCTTCGAACACCTTTACACTATACCGCGAACCGAGCTCTTGCCGAAATACTTTACCAGCATGGTGCGGATCTTTCTGCGAAGGACAAGTATGGCTTGACGCCGCTTCACTCGGCTTGCAAGAACGGACGTCTGGATGTCATTCGATACCTGATATCGATCGGCGCGGCAATCGATGAGCCTGCCTCATGTGGATACACACCGCTACTTTACAGTCTTAGCAATGAAGAGGACGATTTCGAAGATTGCTCTTTCCCACTCCACCCTTCGGCAGAACAATGCCCAAGCATTGAAGTCACACGAATACTACTGGCACATGGAGCGAGTGTTCATGCAGCTACAGCCAGTGGCCAGACAGTACTGCACGGTGCTGCCCGTATCGGTGACATTGAGCTTGTTCGTTCCCTTGTCGATGTTGGTGCGAATTTTCGAGCTGAAAACGCAAAGGGCGAAACAACACTTCACATCGCAGCACGTACAGCCAGCGTCCAGACTGTGCAGTATCTCATGGAGGAAGGCGCGGACGTTTATGCCGTAACTTCATCTGACCAATCTGTAATGCATGCAGCGTGCTCTTCGGGTACTATAACAACATTGCCTGCCATCACCATCATCTTGGAAATGCTACTCGAAGCAGGAGTCAATGTCAATGCCAAGGACATCACAGGCGCAACACCATTACATGTTCTGTACAACCAGTGCTACAGATCCCGCTTGTGTGATACAAAGGCCTTCAACATGCTTCTACGAAGAGGCGCCGATAAAATGGCCGAAGACAAGGAGGGTGAGAGCGTCAATGATCTCGTTGAGAAGGACGACATTTGGACTTGGGATGAAGAAGGGCTGCTGGAGAGGACTAAAACCTCTACTGGGTATGGGACCTGGCGCGGTGTTAGGGGCCGAGGAAGTTGGATAAGAGGCCGTGGTGGTACGAGGGGTTACTGATCTGGGAAGATCAGATTCGACGAAGGGACAGTTGGAACAATGAGCGCCGATCGAGGTCTGATTTAACACGTGAGAATGATACAGCACCCATGTATGGGAAGATGACACGGCATCAGGGATGGTCTACTGTGCTGGGTGAGGGGAGCAGGAATCAAATCTCACATTAATGACCATTTTCGGTAAGTGCGGAATTGCGCGCATACATAGCATTTCCACACCAGTTGCCCATACAAGAGACAGACTTGTTATCTGCCACGTGAATGCTAATGTCCATGTCATGTCTTACAGAATGATATCCTATGACCACAGTCCGCAACAAGCAATCCAGATTGGTTTGCTTGCTTAACTTGCTTGACTTAATTAATTCAATCAAGTCAATCTGAGCTCACCTAAATTAACAAGCAAGTCAAGCTAAGAAGTAATTTTTAATTAACTTGCTTATCTTGCTTGTTAACTATAAGAGATTTATGAGGTTTCTAGAGTAGCTAGAGAGCCTATCTCACGATACCTTCTTAGTGTTGCAGTTAGCCCCTAAAGTCTATCCTAAATTA